TGGGTTTGCAAGTACTCAGAAAAGCCCCCAAAATAAAACTCCATAACTCATAAACCCCTAATAGTTGGTTTGCTTTTACTGGTCAGTCAAAAGATATGATCACTTCAAAACAAAGGCATTTAATGAAATAGCATAGTAAGAATAGGACCATAGAACATTTCCCCCATAAACCTGGGGCATGCTCTCCCACAAATGCATACAGCAACAGTGGAAAGAGAATTGCTATACTTAATGTGAAATAGACACAATCTATGTAGAGGGAACCTGGAAGGTGGTGTGGGATAGCTGTATAGAATTGGATTGGAAATCAGGGGAGCTGCGTTCAAACCCCTCTCCTGACATTAATTATTTGCACAAGTCAATGAATATCTTTGAGTCTCAAGGTCCACTATATAAAATGAAGGAGTTGGATCAGATAGCCTCCAAGGGCCCCTCCAGATCAAAATCTATAATTTAATAATGCTTATGAAGGGAGTGTGTGACCACGATGCATGCATGTAGGGGCAGCTCCTGGCTCCAACAATGTGAGGACTCTGATGCTATCCTATTTTCCTTCTGGGCCTCATACCACCTGATCTTGCATGGCGTGCAGCCTCTGAGCTCACACAGTCTCTGCTGCGCACTGCTCCCCTGCTGGAGCTTCTCACTGCTTCTGCCTTTTGGCTTCAGCTGTAGCTCCCAGCTGAGGGGCTGAGAACTGCAAGGAGTAGCATTTACCATCCCTCTTCAGTTTAGAGCCCCAGTGCTTAAGCTCTAGCTCTTTGAATTGAAAGAGTTAAATCTATTACACACCTGGTATCAGACAGGAAAAAAACTCAGCCACTTTTCTCCCCACAGGGAGACTGTGTCCACTCTCAGGGCCTTCAATCAATGAGGTTTTTCTTTCTAGATTAAAGGGGCTCTTAAGCTGAGGTCTTTGGATAGATTTCTGGGGGTCCACGAACTTAGACAGGAAAAAGTCATCTTTATTGTAATATATTGGTCTCCTTTGTCATTGTATCCATTTTATTTCATGTATTTATTTACACAGTATTCTTCAACAGACTACCAAAGAGGTCTGTGACACACAAAGAAAGATGAAGTGGTCTGACTCTAGAAGACACTTTCTTTCTAAAAGGCAAACTCCTTGGAACCTAGAATAGCCAGCTAACTAGACAGAGCTCACAGGCATTTAATCTGTCTTTTTGAACTCAATCAATTAAGAGCATTTATAATATATGCTCTTGTATATGCCAGGAACTCTGCTAGACTTGAGATACAATGAAAAAAATCATACCACCTTGCCCTCAAGTAGCACATGCTCTTTCAGGGGAACGACATGTTATACACCTATAGGTAAAGCAAAATGGATATATAGTAAAAAAAAAAAATCAAAAAGTGAGTGCACGGGAATGCTAGAGCCTGGGAGGATCTGGAAAGGCTCTGTGTAAATATTGAGCTAAAACTAAAGGGAAGCTAAAAATCTGAAGTGGCAGAATTGAGAAAGGAGTACAGAGACCTTGTGGGTACCCTGTGCAAAGGCACAAAAATGGGAGATTGAATGCCATTTATGAAGAACACTGAATAGGCCAGTTTTTTAAACTAAGAACTCCAGTAAGAAGAGTGGAAACAAAGTAGCTTTTGACTATGTGACATTTGGTTCTTCAGGGTTGGGGGCGGGGGGAGTTGACAAGCCTACGTGTGGACAAAGCAAGCAGCGTTAGAGGAACAAATCATCTCTATTGACAAGCAATATCATTGATATTGAATGCACACAAATGTGTAGAGTTCTGGATTTGGAATCAGAGGACCTGGATTCTTTCTTGGTTCTTCCCCTCACTAGCCATGGGAACCAGCCACTTGCCCTCTCTCTGCCTCAATTTCCTCATCAGAAAAATGGGGATAAGAACACCTGCCCTGCTGATTTCACAGAGCTAATTTCACAGTATCAAATGGTAGGAAATATATAGAAGTGATATGGAAACATAAGCCCTATATAATTATAAGTTATTAATGTAAGGAGGTACTGTGATGCTAAGGAGCAAGATGCCCAGGGTTCAAAGACCACCTCTCATGCTTGCTACTCGTGTGAGACTGAGCAAGTTACTTCTCTGGGCCTCCATTTTCTTCCTCTGTCAAATGAAGGCGCTGGATTAGATGGCCTTAGAGATACCATCAAGATCTATGATCCCATGATAATTATTAAATCTGTACAAATCAATTAACAAGAAGTCCATATTTCAACAACGTCTGACCTTCTAGCTACAGTTTTAGGCGTGCAAAATGACTTAAGGTCAGAGATCCTGCAGCCACAAGTGAAGACATGTTCTCAAAATTTCCCTCCACCCAGGTCCCCTGTGGGCTATAAGGATCTTCGAACCAGGATGACAGGAGGGATGGAGGAAGGAGGAGGAAGACAAATCAACCAAATTAAAATGGGGGTTACAAAAGCAATTTTCAAGCCGTTTGAAATGACAGGGACAATATAGCACCGTGAGGGCCACCCATAGATGTAGCCTGAAAGGAATTCTAATGAGCTCCTGGGCTTTGCTCTGAGGGTCCATTCGACATCTATGCAGGTCGCGAATGAAGGATTCATTCTTTCTTTCTCTGAATCACAGAATTACTATTGTTATTATTTAGCATTGATTAATTGTTCCCCAGACCTCATGAGGCCTCTCCACACAATTCTCAGAAAATGATTAAGCTCCAGGGGCTAGTCTATGCCTTGGCATTCTGGGTAAAGGAGCCACACAAGGGTAAGGCAATCACACAGCTGGAGGAGAGGAAGGGCATCCTCAAGGAAGCTCTTTTCCCCGATCCATTCCTTATCCCGTCTTCCCCATTATGGCCGTAATACAATCACAGTAGCAGAAATTTTAGGCTTCCATTTTCCTGCCAAGAAAACTCAACCTAGAGTCCGAGTGCTTTCTATGTTCAGGACCTTGGGAAATGCATAAATATTGAATAATTACTAATAAGGAGGGGCTGCCCTCCAGGATTAATTATAGCCGCCAATGCTCCAGCCACAATTACAGAGGTCTGATTAAATGTAACATTGTAAAGGACCTGGAGCAGTGAATTTTAGTCTTGACATCCAATAACACTCTATGACCCTATGGATATTGTCTTCCCCAGAGGTCAAAAATATGAATATATTATGGTTCTGACAACCTTGGCACCGAATAAAAGGAAGGATGAAAAGCTCCCTGGGAGAATGAAAAAAAAAATCTGACATTACATTTGTGATCACAGAGAATAAAGGAAAATCTATATCCTAATTTTGCTAAATTTAGGTTTGACAGGAAGAACAAAGGATAGCCTTTTATGTTGATGTTTATTCAGGAGATGAGGTGAGCCCAAAGCTCCCAGCCTCCATATACTCCATGACACCCAGAGAGATTGGGAGACTCTGGCTCCCGCTGACAATTTTCATTGATTAAAAATTATCAACCAGGGAACAATGTCATCCAAAGGAGTTGAACTTTCAGTTGGCTCTGAAGCAAAATTGTTAAGTAGTTTGAGGTGATGCTTCCAGTTAGCTGAGAATTTATGTTTTGGAGGAACTCAGCCATCCGTCATCTCTGAAGAGGCTCATTTACAGAGAGACAACCTGAGAAAAGGCAATCAGCTTGAAATCTGCTAAGCTGTGAATTTATAACTGTTCCACAAAGGGGAGGGTGTCTCTTGTTTCAGGTTCTGTCAGTGAGAGCCAAAGAAACTAAAATCAAGGCCTGAAAGAATAGGGATGAATTACTCAGTCAGCCTTGGGAAGGCAATCTTCAGGATGAAGGGTAAGGGTCAATGCAAAGGACCCGTCCATCTATCCTTCCCAGCCTGGGAGCCCATTTTCAGCAAGTTCAAAGATCCAGCACCCAGGATATAAAACCTACCAAATTTGTAATTTAAGCTGCAGGTAACACCTCTTAACAGGATCCCTAGATCAACTGAAAGGGCAATATTAAGAGAGAGCAAATTTTCCCACCCCATGGATTCTATGACCTTGGTTGGCAAATAGCTGTATTCTCCTTTCTCAGGGGGGGAAACACAGCCTGAGTTTGCCCTCGTAGACCTGCATGGATGGGAGTGCCTTCCTCCTTAGCTGCATCTTTTCTTCCAGCAATTAGGGAAGGGGGAGAAGTGTGGGATTGAACTGGAAGTCTTTGTAGCCCATTTTGTTTCTTCTCTTTTCTCCATCTCATTCGTCTTTTAGCTTGCTTTGGGGTCATTTTCCAAGGTACTTGTGTGTCATCGAGAAAAGGTGGAAAATGCAAAATCTATTTTTTTCCTTTTGAGTTTGAGGAGGAGAAATGAGTCCATGGAAGGAGACCATTTGGTAGGGCACAAAGAGCTAAAGAGAATAGCTGGAAGTCAGGAGACCCAGCATTTAATCCTGGCTAGCTGTGTGACCTTGGACAACTCACTTAACTTCTCTATACTTAGGTTTCCTTATCTCTAAATTGAGGGCATTGGGCAGGATGATTTCCATCTAGCTGTACAATTTGTGCTACTTGTATCATTTCCCTTTGCACTGGAAGTGGGGCTCTGTACCATTACCAAGTAGGAGCTGGCATCAATGTGCCTTCATTCATGTTTGTCAATCTCCGATAAGGGGTCAGATTGTTATAAATGAACCAATACAGAAAGTGCCTCATGGATTTTCACTGGACTGGAGATGTTTGTTATCCCACCCCCCAGAGAGCCATGGAGAGGAAGTTATCCCCGTCCCCAACCCCACCAACTTTTGAAGGCATAGTTTTGGACCTTCCAGAGCTCAGGGGGAGGAATGGATTCATTGTTCAGGAAATTACTGAATCTGAGCCATATTTTTTGGTATATGTTTCATAGGTAGTGCAGTGGGTAGCATGCTGGACTTGGGAGTTAGGAAGACTTGAGTTTGAATCCTGCTTCAGATACTTACTGGCAGTGTAATTTTGGGCAAGTCACTTGACCTCCATTTATCTATAAAATGAGTATAATAATAGCACCTACCTCCTGGTGCTAGTTAGGACCAAATGAGATAACAGGTAAAGCACTTTGCAAACCTTAAGGTGCTATGCAAATGCTGGCTATTATTACAACTCCCCCCACCAACGCTAAAAAGTACAGCTTGAAAATGCCCTACTCTTATGAATCTAAAATGTCAGGTTGCAAGAAATGATCCTAGCTGCTCAGTTGTTGAGCACTTGGCCTGACACATAGATTAGAGATTGCATCTCATTTTCTATGTCAGTATCTTATGAAAGGAGCAAGCAGAGTGTCTTCTTCAGCAGCTACTTTGCCAAGGCTGCCATTTCATCCACCGTCCTCTCTCTGATGACAAGTGTGACAGTGTCACCAACAGAGAAGGCCTCAGCCTCTGTGGTTGCCAGATCTGTCTCCTATAAATTGGAGGAAAGCCAGCAAACACCCGGAATGTCATTAAGAGAGGGTCTGTGTGGATTTTTCCCAGGTTCCTGTTTTGCTCAATTTTGCTGCGGGTCTGACTAAGCTCACTCCCCTCAAACAGTCCCTTGGTCTTTCCCCGCCTCTTTGTCTTCCCTGTCACAGTGAAAGAGTCTCCCCAGTGAATTCATTTTCTTCTCATTTTCAGACACACCAGTCAAAAAGCAGGATGGTATGGGGCAAGTTCTATCAGGACTTGGGGCAAAATGTCCCTCCTTGGTTCTTGCCAAGATGTTGCCCCGTGCTGGAGGAGATTGAATGGGAAGTGGCAGCTTTGGAGCCATTGATCCTGCTCACAAAATATCAGCTCATTGTTTGTCTTCTGCCCTCAGTCTTATCAACCTTGACTCCTTGGATGCCATGCTTTAAAAAGAGAAAGGAAAATAAGCAAAGTCAGAAGCATTTTTGACTGAAGAATAACTGACTTTTGACAGGAGTAGAGAGGTATAAACCTGGTGCTAATGAGGGAGTGACACCCTTTGACTAATTTGGTCTAGAGTGGGAAGAATACTGCATTGAGTATGTAAAGAACTGGGCTCGGAGGCCTTTCTTTTCTTGGCCAAGGGAAAATAGAACAGGGGCAGAGAATGGGGAAGAGCAGCTGTCTTGGGGTGGGAGCTGAGGGGCTGGGAGTCCCTAGCTGCCGATGGGAAGAAGTAGGCCCTGGGATGGTGCTATTGGTATCCCCTAAATTGTCATTCCCTGGGGCAATGACCCAATTCTCCCACCCTAATTATGCTTCAACTTTAGTTCAGATCTTTGCTCATTACTACCTGTGTGTCCTTGGATAAATCATTTAATCTCTAAGGGACTTCAGTTTCCTCTTTTGTAAACTGAGGTGGGAGTGATGATTTTAGAATTTGCTACTCACTGTAAATTCTATATCACTAAATCTGATCTTTCCATCTCCCTAAAGTACAACATAGAATTGTATTTGCAGCTCTGTGCTCACCTTTCCAAATCCCATGTTGTTGTTTAGTCATTTTTAGTTATCTCTAACTCTTCATGACCCTATCACGGGATTTCTTTGTGGAGATATTGAAATGGTTTGCCATTTTCTTCTCCAGCTCATTTTACAGATGAGGAAACTGAGACAAACAGGGTTAAGTGACATGCCCAGGGTCACACAGCTAGTAAGTATCTGAGGCCAGATTTGAACTTAGGAAGGTGAGTCTTCCTGACTGCAGGCCCAGCACTCTTTCCATTGAGCCACCAAGCTGCTCCCTCCTTCCACCCAGTTCTACTACACCCCACCAACCCCAACACCTTTCCCCACAGTGACTCAGGGAACAGCTAAAAAAAGGTTGTGCTGACTTCATAAGCAACTTCTGAAGTGATAACACATACACACACACACACACACACACACACACACACACACACACACACCCCTCCCAATCACCTAGGCCCAGGAGGTAGAACTACTCACCCCTATTTACACAAAAGCATTCACAGAACAAATATACATTCTCCTTTGTTTACTTTTCTTCTTCTTCCAAGGATGCCCTTGATGTTTATTTAGCCTGATTTCATTTGGGTCTAAATGTTGGGGACAGATGAAGGACAGGCCAAAGAGATGCCTTATCTGATACTCCCGAGCTGTTCCAGTTGTACCTGGAGGGAAATGGTGTAGCATAAGAGAGCATTCCTGGTGTTGAGGGGCTTGCGGTTCTGTTTCTGATTCTACCACTTACTAATTTGTATGGTTTATCAGGTCACTTAAACCCTCTGAACCTCAATTTCCTTAGTTTTAAAATAGGGATCAAAGCTGGAAGAAATCTTAGAGACCATCTAGTCCCACCCCTCATTTTGAGGACCTGGAGTCCTAAAGGTTAAATGACTTGCCCAAGGTCACAGACATCGTGAGTGGCAGAGTCAAGATTTGAACCCAGGTCTTCTGATTTCAAATCTAGCCTTCTTCCCATTGCCTCTACTTATAATGATATTTGCACTAAGCATAGGGCTGGATAAGAAAAGCAGTTTGTAAACCATAATAATCTCTATAAATATGAACTATTGTTATCGTTAACATAACCTATCTCAAAGGATTATTGTGAGGATCACATTTCCATGGATACCAGGCTAGATCACGCCCTTATCATTTCCTGGCTGATTCATTCTAGTAGCTGCCTATCTAAACTACTTGCTTGCAGTCTTTCTCCTCTATCATCTATCCTGCTCTCCTTTGATACTTTGAAGAATTCATGATCTCATTCATTGATGGGGGTAATCTCTCCAACAGTCCAGATAGCAATGCATCCATGCCTGTCTATCATGGGCAACTCTTGTCTACCACAGGGAGGTCCACATAATGTTCTGGGGGCCTTCTTCTACATATTTTGATATTCTGAGGATACTAAGAGAACATATGGGATGTTATCAGTTACTGTCTTTTCTCTTTAGGTGATCATCTTCCCTTCTTGTTAGAAAATAATAATAGTATGTGCTCAAGTCTGTTCTTTTATCTGTTTCTATTTTGTTTTGGACAACAGTTTGTTTAAATAAATCAAATTGGAGATGCTGATTTGGAAATGACTTCCAGTAACAATCCTTCACAATGATGTCAAAAAAATTTTGTCTTGCACAGAACTGGCCACGCAGATACCTAGCTCAAAAATCTTCAATGTGTTCCCATTGCTTTATAAAACAAAAACAAAGACAACACAAAACACCAAATCTGTGATTTCATTGGTATAACTAGTTGGGGGGACTCTCTCTACCAATGCAGAATGGCACCTACTCTTTCTCTCTTAGTCTGAGAGTTTTTCTTAGGACAGTGAGTGGTTAAGTGACTTGTGCAGAGTCACATGTCCTGTTTCTGTCAGAAATGGAACATGAACCTGAGTTCATGACTTGTAGGCCTATTCTCTATACCCATCACTTAGTTAACAAACAAATGACCAACTACTTAACCTGATATTCAAGGCTCTACTCAGTCTAGCTCCAAGTTTCCTTTCTAGGCTTATCTCATATTATTCCCCTCAATTCTTTTTGGTTCCAGCTTTGCCACTAATTAGCCTTGTGACCCTAGACAAAATATTCATCTTTCTGAGCCTCAATATTCTCATGTGAAAAATGAAGAATTTACACCAGGTGATTTCCAAGGTCATGGTCTTTAGCGTTGACACCCCCTCATTTTACACGTGAGGAAACTGATCTTGGGGGGGGCGGAGACTTGGCTTGTGTCAGATCCCTCAGGCAAATAAGAAGAGCTAAAGTCTGAACGCAGGCCCTCTGACTAATCCAGAGCTTTTCCCTCTATACCACCCTATCACACGCGAATTGTATGTGACCTGGGCTTCCTGCTAGGTTGGAAATCTGTAACCTGGTAGTTGTGGTATCCCATCTTTTAGAAGCCTGGGATCTGATCTACTTCCTACTAGAATGGAGCACTTGGGACTTATAAATATCCAGAGATATTTTGAGACAATTCCATGCTGGGCTAGAGGGAAAACAAAGATACTCTCTCCATACTCTTTTGTGCAGAAATCCAGATAATTTGTTAAAAAGACAAATTTCTCTCTATTGAAATTAGTTTCTTCCTTGCTTATTCTATGCACCTCCCCCTAATGCTGCTAATTTACATGGCGAACAAAAATGCATTTCATCTACCAGAACCTTTCTATCTTTTCCAAATCCAAAATTTTGTTTCTACCATAAACACACAAGATAAAAAATTTCAAGCTGGATGGGACATCAGAGCCCATATAGACCAACCTGTCATTTGACAGATGAGAAAACTGAAGCCAAGGAAAGTTATCCCTTGCCCAAGGTCACATAAGTCACCATAGGCTCTAGCCCCTACCAGTAGAGTTTGTTCCCCCAATTTTAGGTCAGATTAGCATTTACAAAGGAATATTGACTTCAAAGCTATAACAAAAGAAAATATACAAAGACCTTTCACCAATACCTGGGGGTGGGAGGGAAATAGCCCTGGCATTAACTCAGTCTAGGGAAAGGGGATGAGATGCACAGTTAAACTCAGTTCCTATATAGCATTATTCCCCCCAAATTCTAAAGCCCCCCAGGCTTGTGTCTCAGAGATGCTGATTTCTCAGGGCTTCCCTTGCTGGACTGCTAGGTATTGAACCCTCTTCCTCTAAAACCAGTCCTCTGTTCATCTCTCTGGGCCCACATGGGGCATAGGGATTGGAAAGACCCACCTCATTCAGCATCTTTGTCCCCCATCACTTCCTGAACTTCAACATCATCAACAGCAACACTAATTCCTCCCATTTATAGGGTGCCTTAAGATTAACAAAGTCCATCTTTCAAAACAAACCAAATCAGTTAATCTACTTCCACAATATTCCTTATATCTCTCCCCTTCTTTCTCTTCACACAAACCCTCATCACCTCTCCCCTACACTATTGCAATAGCTTCCTAAATGCAGGGGCAGCTGGTGGATAGAGCACAGGACTTGGAGGCATGAAGACCATATACTTATTAGCAGTGTGGCTGTGGACAAGTCACTTAACCTTTCTCAGTCTCAGTTTCATCATCTGTAAAGTGGTCATATTAATAGCACCTACCTTTAGGTGATAGCTCTGAGTATCAAATGAGTTAACACATGTCAAGGGCTTGCAAACCTTAAAATACCATCTAAATACAAGTTATAATGATGATGATGGTGCCTTCTTTCCTCATTTTTCACACAGCTGCCAGGTATTCCTAAAGTACTCTTCTGACTAGGTCACTCTCCTCAGGAAACTCCTATGGCTCCCTATTGCCCATAGAATCAAATACAAACTCTACTGTTGATCAGTTACACATAATGGCCCTTTATGCACTCTATCGTCTTGTCAAATTGAATTATTTCCAGTTTCTCACCCACGGCTTTGCATCTCCTATCTTGGTACCTTTATACAGGTTGGCTGTCCCCTAAAAATGCCTTCCTTCCTCAAATTTTCTATTTAGAATTACTGGCTTCCTTCAAAGCACAATCAAATATCACCTCCTACATGAGGTTCTGCCCCATTCCTATTCCCCCTTATTCCCAGAATTTGTCTTGTTTTGACTTTGTACATATTTTATATCTTCCTACATGTACGCATATCATTTCCCCCAACAGCAGCTATTTCATCTTTGTCTTTGTTTCCTCAGTGCCTAACACAATGTCTGGCACACAGTGGGTATTTAATAAATTTTAATTGATTGATTGATTGAACCTTATGAGACACGGACAAGTATTTAAACCCAGGTCCTTTTCATAGATCAGGAAACTGAAGCTCAAATAAGTGCAGTGATTTGCCCAGAGCCACGCAATCCTAAACTCAGGCCTCTGGACCCCAAGGTCCAGCCTTCTCTCGGCAGTACTATCAACACACAGGCAAATTCATTTTATTGTGTTTTTTTTTAAACACTGTGGTTGGTTGGTTCCTAAGAAACATTACTCAGAGCTTTAATCTGGCTTTAATCTTGCAACATGCAGTTGAATTTAATGAAGAAAGAGGAAATATGAAGAAGGATCTCAGAGTGTTTGAAGATAATGATTCAGAAAGGAGAACAATGAGACTTATTAAGGGAGATAGAGATGAGAGAAGAGACCCAGAGCTCAGACCGGGACAGGTAAAACCGTGAAAGGAGGAAGGAGTTTGAGAGCAAGTTTCATTGAATTCATATTGAATGGGGGGGGGGGACGGGACGACGACGACGACGACGACGACGACGATGACCAGCACTTGTGGCCATAACCTGCAGGTAATAAATATTTAAAATGTCTACTGTATCCATGAAAATTAATAACAATGACCCTCCCCCCATGAAAGGCTAGTCTGACAAATCTGTCATTCGGGGTACTTTAGGCTTCTCATATTTGGCTTCGGATTTCCATCTGAGTATAGTCGAAATGGTTGGGGCCCTGCAGTGCCTGAGAGTGATTACGGTGATGGATTTTGCATTCTACCACACAATACAATTAAATGTAGGATTTAGTCGATTTATTAAGCCTGTTAAGAGAGAAGTATGGAAGCTGACCATGTTTCCAATGAATAGTATTAGATGTTAACTCCTTTTGCACAGCTCCCCTGCAAACTTCGCCTACCTAATCCAGTTCTGCTTTTCTTTTGCGTGTTGGCCAACTGGAGCCTTGGGAAGGCAGGCCAGCTGCAGTGGCAAATTGGAGCAAGATATGCTGAGGGGCGGACATGCCAGAGGGATGGATCTGTATGGCTTGCTCCACACTGGCCCTCTAACTTTCATACATCACCATTGTGCCTGGTGTCATCTTTGACAGCAAATATGATTTTAGCTGTCAGGCTGCCTGCAGAAAACAAAACATAATTTACAACCAAATTCAGCCCTCAGAAACTCACACCTGGCTCCCAGGGACTCCAGGTCTGTAAGGGCAGGATTTATCACTGAATATCTAAAAACAACAGAAGCAACAGTCAAAACACTCATACACACACACACACACACACACACACACACACACACACACACACACACACACACCCCTAAAGTCTAATTATTATTACTCAAGGGAGAATGCAGTTACCATTTCTTCAACTATAATTACTAAAATTTATTCTAAATATTTTATCACCCATCATATGTTCATCTCTAATTAGACTCTGAGCAATAAAGGGACACTGGTTTTGCTGAGTCCAAG